AAAAAGGAAATAACAAAATAATTACCTGGACGAGGTTGAACAACTTCTAACAAAGCTAAGGATTCAGGTGTTATCTCTTCTGGTGAAAAAACCTAGATAATTCATAATTAACGGTATTTTTCTAATGAAACTAAATCTCGCTTACATTCCAACAAATAATTTGTCTAGGAAATGAAAAGATTGCTCCAACAAGTCTATCTTGTCCAGCAATCATAAAACCATCTTCATATAAACCAGTTATTAATGGTAAACGTTTATTATCAGTATCCATTGCTGCTATTGTTGTTGGTTCATATCTTTCACTAGGATATCCCATTCGACCTTCAGCTGTATGAACAACATTCGATAAAGATAAAAATCTTTTTGATAATTTAATTGGATTAGAAAATATTCTAGAAGAATTTTTTAAAAAGAAATTCATCTAAAGTTAAACAAAATTTATATATAAATATTCTTTTTCAATTATCTGACAACCATAATGGCAATGAATAATTATAATATCTGAGAAGTTTAATTAATTTTTGATTATGAAATAAATAATAATTATTTAAATATTCACGTGAATAAGACGACATATTTTCATATCGACGTCCTTTACTATTTCCAAGACATTGAAAATTATGTTTAGCTGAGAATGAGCAAAAAAATCCTTTTTTCTTGTTATATCTATTAAAAAATACAAAATAGAGAATTTTATTTAAAAGTAAGACAGAAAATTACCTGACTAGATTTGATGAATTAATAAAATTCTTTAATTGAAGAAATGACAATTGAATATCGTTTAGAATTATACGAGGATCATGACGAAATGCTTCACCATCCACAATATAAATCTACGAAAAAAACATTTCTCTAGAAAAATAATAAAATATTTCGAATTACTTGTTTTGATGGAAAATATTTTAACCATTTAAGAATATGTTCAGCATAATGACCAGGTTGAAGACAACGTTGTTTTAAATGAAAATAATACGAATTTTCATCATGATTAGATTTCAATAAATCATCAAAATTTATTGTTTGATTAATTCGAGCAATTTCATGCTAAAATATAATTATACGAACTGATCACTAGAAAAGAAATCTTACTTGATATCGAGAATAAGCACGATGACCAGGTTCTGTTAACATTATAATCAAATGAACAGAAGGTAATAATGCTTTAATACGTTTCATAGCTAATATAGAATCAAAATAAGTTGCTGATTTTTCAAAATTTATTGATTGTTCATTAGTATGAAATTGATTTAAATACCTAGACATAGATTTTATTTATAATATTATTATATTTATTTTACAAACCATGTTATTCCATTCAAATAAATTGTTTCATTACTAAAAAATTGTAATTCTTCATAGGTTAGAGAATTTTTTTTCGATGGATATAAATCTGGATGTTGAGAAAGCATATTATGTAAAGCTGTTGTACCTAATAAATTATCATTTGATTATAATACAAAATCGAAATATTTATTTAGAACCTGTTTTTTGTGGACCAATAATTATAAATTTTGGAAAAATTTCACACATTGAACGATTTCCATTCCAAAGATTCATTAAAATATCATCATCGCATGGATTCTAAACAAATATATTCTGATAAAATTTTGCTTTTAGTTTTTAAAAATCTACGTACAGTAAATAATGGTAGTTTTTCATCTGGATAATATTCATAAAAATATTTATGAGCTAATTCGGATGTTGATATATCATTGACGAATTGAATTCTTGTCCATGTTGATATTAAATAAATAAGTTTAGAAAAAACATAATTGCCTAAACGATCATGACCATAATTAACATTATGTGACATAAATATTGAAATCTAAGAAAACATGATATTTATTTAGAATAAAACAATAAATATATATTCTTACTGGATTTGTTAGAATCATTCGAAATAATCTTCCACCCATCAAATATTGTTCTAAACGGTTACTCATATTTGTATAATTTCGTGTTGTTGTATATAATCCACATGATTGTCGAGGTAATACCTTTAAATAATATATAGTGAATGTGATATTTGAAATAAATAGATATCATACAGAAAGACCGTTATAGATAAAACCACGTCGATTTGTTGGTAACTCATAATGATACGGATAATTTTCTGTACTTGTCACATTGAAATTCATTATACGATGCCAAACATCATAAACAATAGGATTAATTGGATAAATACCTGTATGATGAGGTGCTACAACATAGTTTGGATCCAATGGTAATTTATGTTTCTAAAAAATCAGAAAATATTTACATAGCAGATCTTCTGATGCTATTAAGTATAATTTAGTTTTCTTTAGAATTGTTAATAAAACTATTGGATTAATTTCAACTATGTAATTCATATATTTACTAATAAAGAATCTTACATCTCTTAAATATGTTTCATTCTCAAAAGATAAACTTGAAAACTTTCTAGATATAAAAATGTACGATTTCTAATGAAATTAAACGATAATCACGTACCTGTGCAAAAGCTAGATTCGTTTTTGTTGAACTAATCAATGAAATTTTATCATTGATATTGGTTAATTTTTCATGTTTCCATGTATGATGAAACCAAATAAAGTTATCTTTTTCTTCTACATAATAAATATAATTAATAAAACATCAAAATTAATGACAATACTTACTAATCAATAAACGATTGCTTTCATTAACTTCATTATTATTTGAATTTGAATAATAATATCCACAGAATCCAAGTCGATAACGAAAATTTTTTATATAATTTTGTATAAATAATTGTGAACGAATTAAAGCTTGAATATCATGAGATTTTAAATAATCATTGGATTTTTCACCTAAAAAAATATCATCAATATCAATTTGAATATATCGTTTTAATCCATGATAATCATATATATTCGAAGTTAAATATCTAATAATATCCATAAATAATGGCCAAATAAACCAATGATTGTAAAGACATTCAGATAAATAAATTTTATTCTCTTCTGATATAATCATTAAGTTAATTCTCTTAAATGTTATTTTATTTTTTACATAAACAATTGTACTTGTAGAATCATCGTGAGATATTTCAAGACCTATACATTGGCTATTATGATGATGATGAAAATAAGGTAAAAATTTTTCAAAACGTAATATTTTTATCACTTCATTCGATTGTATAATATTAAATGGAGTTGTCGTTGTATCAATAATTGGTTTGAATATTTCTCGATTAAAGTCAATTGTGGAATAACTAACATTTTCAAATAACATTTGAGAATAATTAATAGATATACAATGTTTACATTTATCATTTAATAATATTACTAAACTCATATGATATTGATTAATAAATCTATAAAATTCTTTATCTGGTATATAGTCCATAATAATTAATAATGGACTATTATTTATTAAATCTTGATAAAATTGCTGATTAATTTTTGTATTATGTTCGACATATGATAAACGAAGTTCATTTAAAAATAAAATTAAGCGTTGAATAATTTTTGAATTAGATGATGAAAGAATAATAATCGTTGAAGATTTGGGTTTTAGTTTGAATTTATTTACATAAGATTGATGAGAAGAAAATGAAAAATTTCGAAATATAATTATTATGAGTATAAAAAAACTAATTATTTTAATAAGACGTTTAATTGAACAACGAACCATTTATAACATAAAAATTCTTATCTAGAACATTCTCATCAAAATCTAATCAAAATATCAGACATGATATATACACACACATATAAGATATATTTTTCATTCGTGTTTAATGGAAATTGATTTTTCTTTTTTTTTGAAAATAGAAGTACAATAATAATTAAAGGGAAAAAAAATAATTAACAATATATCGATTAATATATTTTGTTTTTGTTTATAGAAAAAAAAAATTCAATTCACAATAAATGACTCGTTTAATTATGTCTATTTGAATAGATCAAAAAAGAAATAAACGACATTCTCGACAATAATATGAATATAATTAATTTCGAAGATCGACCATTTTACATTGAAGAGCAGGATCATAAACTGTATGACTTGCAGGCTAGAAAATAACAAAAAACAAAATTTTTATGAACAAAAAGAAATAATTTTAATTACTAGAAATAATGGTGGGTGATTGATATGTTCATGAAAACCTGTTTTTTTACATGTAGATATAACCTGGATACCTGTATCTGTTGTCAATGAAAAGATTGCAGTTCTTAATAAGAAAAAAAAATAATATTTATCGATAAATATTGATTAAATTTTTACTCATTGTATTTTGGACTAATAACAATCGCAATTGCTTCTTGCATTAACATTTGATAAGGTAAATGTGTATGAAGATCAACACTTGATAAAAAAACAGTTTGTGTTGGATGTGTCTAAATAGAAATATATTAATAGAAACAAGGAAAAATATCTTTTATTTAATTATACATGAATCCAACCAAGTGTTATTAAATCATTATTAGAAATATATTCAACCATTTCTTCTTCTTTTTCTGTATCACATGAATCTAATAACAACAAAAACAAGAGTAGAATATGATTAGAAATAAAATAGTTTACCTGGTCCACCATTTTGTTTTGGTACGACGATATGTGTTATTATATATTGATCGTTTCTCTAAAGAAAAAATAAATAAATATATAAAGAACTAAAATATTGAATGAACAAACCCTGACGCCTGCAAGAATACCACAAGTTTCAATTTTTCGTTCTATTAAAAAAATATAGAAATAAATATATTTATTGATTGATATAAACCTGTATTTCGTTGTGCAACTTGAAGAAATTTTGGTGTAATATCATTCGGAACAGTAATTCGACGAAATATTGTCATACTAGCATTTGTCGAACCTATATATAGAAAATAAAATAAAAATAAATACTATAATATATAGATAAGTATACTTGGTATTGGCTTTTGTGAACGATCATAAGTAGGTCTTAAGTAATCGATAAATTATAATAATAAAAAAACGTCTCGATGGTAAAAAAAGAACTTACTTGATAGGTTCGTTAAAATTTTTTGGATGACTATTATCAGTTGGTGGTACAGTAAATAAGGCAACATTTGCTGGTGGTATTTGCGTATAGTTTGTTTTAAGTTGTTGAAGTGTATGTTCATTTTCATTATGAAAACTATCGCAGAAAAAAAATTAATTTTAGATGGATAATTAATAAAATTTTGTCGTACGTAGTCGATGGTTTGCTCAATGATGCAGCTGAAATTTTTTCATTCTTTTCTTCTTGAATTGATTTCTATAAAAGAAAAAAACAACAACAATAATAATAATTAACTTTGTTTGTCTTAATACTTGTTTCATGTCATGTTCAGATGCATATTTGTCTTGTAATTTCAATTTTAATTCTTCTGCACGTGGAAAAGCTTTCGATCGAATAATCTATGAATTATTATTATGCATAAAAAGGACGAAAATTCGATGCTAAAAATTCTACTTCTTTAACACGTTCTCGATCATTCACTGATGCTTTTGCGTAACCTGGATGATGTAATTTAAGTTCTTCCACAAATAATCTAAAAACAAAAAAACAAATTTCGTATTTTTAGATTTATTATTAATGTATTTCATATACGTTATATATCTTGAATAAAGAATAAAACTTTGTTCTGGTTGATTATTTTTATAATAATAATCAGCTTCTTCTATTAAATTATCTGATGTGTTATAATAAAAACTAATTGGTGTTATTGCCCGAATCGGAATTCGACATTGATTTTCAAGTAAGGATTGAACACAATCTCGACCATATTTAATTGATTCTTGAGAAAGTGTCATTTTTTATATCTAGAATAAAAAAAAAAGAAAAAATTTCTATTTATTTCTATTCATCTTTAGTTAAATGACAACATAAATGTATTATTATAACGACAGCAATTATAGCAGGAGCATCATGTTCATCATCAATTATATCAATTGTATAACCACTTTTTCGTGTAATCGTAGCAATAATATCTTTTTCATCTTTAGTTGTTATTGAAAAAACTTCACCAAAATAGTCTCCTGTAGTATGAAATTTAATTTCGTCAAGTTCAGATGTAATTGTAAATTGCGGATGTAATAAGTTCAATTTTTTACGTATATTCGCAACGAGTTCGTTATGCCTATTGTGAATGACATATGTTGGGCGTAATGTAAAAAATTTTTTTTCTACAGTACATACAACATTGTCAGCTAGAATAAAAAAAAGAAGCAGAAGAAGAATATGTAAGTTAAAATAAGCATGAATAACAAACAAAATATAATTTACCTAAATCAAATATTGTTAATTTTCTCATAACTGCATCCATTTCATTTTTAACTAAATACCGTTCGAGATCTTCATTATCATAAACCACGAATTTCGCAGAAAAATCTTCGGTCTTTATAGTGAATTTCATTATTATTTATGATTAGATAGATATGATTGTACTGAAAAGATTTATACTTGAAATAATAGTTATGCATCATTGCACGTTTATTTTTCTTTAGACAATAAACAAAATTATATATATATATAAAGGTAGACAGGTTAATGGAAAAAATAATTTGTTATAATAGAAACGATGAGTAATTTCTCAAACAGGTGCGTTTTTTATTTTAGATGATTGATGTGATGTCTGTATGTATCTATCATGTAGAATAAACTTAGTATGGTCAAATAGAATATCCATTGTTATTCAACGATAGATGGCAATAGAAACATATATTAACAAAGAACTTTATAATGAGATTTAAGAAATAATTTTTATTGAAAATTTTTTTCGAGAATCGAATTTATTTTCTTAAGATATTCTACATATTTAACTGGTGAATTTAATTAACCATTCATGAATTTGTTTGTTGCCTAAAATGGTTGGATATTTACTTTTCTTTCCATTGTAATGAAAAATAAAATATAGTTAATGACATGACGTGTCTAATATTTCGTCGTATTTGTTTTTTTTTATTGATTAACAGACGCACATGACTTTAATTATAATGTATGATTGGACATAAACTATTATATTATTTATTTTATGAGTACATAATAACCTAAATATTTTTTGTTTTTCTTATAAAATAATACGATTGTTCTCTTATTTAGATTTTATATTATTGTTTATCTAATTTAATCACAATTATTTCATTCTATTTGCTTATTATATATCTTATTAAACTGAATAAATGCTATATATGATCAAAAAATTATTTTCTTATGAATGAATTTCAAAGCAGGTATAGAACCTCAATCAACAATGGCTTCATCGTCTTCATCAAATCGGCGACGCAAAGGAAAACAACAACAACAACAACAACAAAAATCAACAACAACAACATCAAATTCGTTAGTTCAATTTAATATGTTCTTATCTATAAATTTTCTTATTTTATTCTAGTAAATCAACTTCATCATCTGGAAAATCCACAGAAAAAGAACGCTTATTAACATTAAAAAAATCTAAAAAAGAAATGTTTCGTCAAGAAACAGCTAAAATTGTTTTATGGAGACAACCAATACGTACAATTCAATATTGTATACTTGAATTAATTTATCTTATTCATCTGAGTTTTAAACGTTTAATATCATATAGAAAGACATTATTCTTATCGATTGTTCTATTTCTATTTTTTCTATTTATTTACAATACGGAAGGTTCACATCAAAAAAGTATTTCATTAATAGAAACTCTACTATTAACCTCATTATACTGGTGTGGTCTTGGTATAGCATCTTCAGTTGGACTTGGTACAGGTTTACATACATTTTTACTTTATCTTGGTCCATTTATTGCCCAAGTAACATTAGCTGCATATGAATGTGGTTCAATTAAATTTCCTCGTCCACCATATCCAAATGAAATTGTTTGCCCATCGATAGCAACCACCACAACATCACGTATGCTCTCAAATAATAATGAAACAATCTTAACAGATTTATTAGAAACTGGACCAATATCATTCTGGAAAATATTATGGAAAGTTAAATTAGAAGCATTTTTCTGGGGTTTAGGTACCGCATTCGGTGAATTACCACCATATTTTATGGCACGTGCAGCACGTTTAGGTACAGCTGATGGTGATGAAGATGATGAAGAATTAATTGATTTTGAACAAATGTTAATTAATGTTGAATCACATAATTCAAAAAATTTATCATTATTCGAACGTATTCGTTATTTAATCTATCGTCTTATAAAACGTATCGGATTTTTAGGCATACTTTTATGTGCAAGCATTCCAAATCCATTATTTGATTTAGCTGGTATAACATGTGGTTATTTTCTTATACCATTTTGGACATTTTTTTTAGCCACTATTATTGGAAAAGCATTAATTAAAATGAGTATACAAACAGTATTTATTATATTTCTATTCAGTGAACATCATGTTGAACGTATTATACGTTGGATGAAACATATTCCACATTATGGTCGTTTATTACAAACACCATTTAAAGATTGGTTACATGAACAAAAAGGTAAAATGCATAGAAAACCAGGTGAAAATTTAGCTGGTCATGTTCAGAAAATATCATTATTAACAAGAATATTCAATATATTTGTTGCTGGAATGATTATATATTTTGTTGCATCAATTATTAATTCATTAGCACAACGTTATCATAAACGAACACGTACTGATTTAAAATTGATGTAATATTGCAATCTGTTTTCTCTCCTTCTCATGAATGATGTATTTTTTTTGTCTCTCTCTCTCCTTTTCTTATTTCATTTAAACTTATCCTAATTTTGGCGATCAAAGATCATCTTTATTGAAAAAATAAAAAACAAGCATCGCTGTGAGTTTTTTTTTTGTCACTTTTTTTCTTTCTTTCTGTGTATCTATTTCTACTTATGTATGTTTGCATTTCGTTTTTTTGGGTTTATTGTATTGTTTTCTTTCTGCTTATTTCGTTTAATTGTTTGTTTTTCTCGAGAAAAAACCTATCAATGCATTAGAGCTGAGATCTAAAGAAAAACAATAAAAAACAAAGAAATTATTTCAACTAAATATAGATGCCTTCGAGCTTTACTCATTTTCCAAAATTTTAAAAAGTGTTCAAATCAAAAATTTCTTCTATTTCGAAATTTACATTTTTAGTTTTAATGAAAAAGCAATTCATCGTTGCAATTCTTATGACAACTTTTATTTAAGAATAAAAATGTTTTTATTAATTGATTTCTTTTTCTTTCGAAATATTATTCTATCGTCTAACTATATACTTACAAACGGAGAAATGAAGTATGGTTTCAAGTGGCATATTTACTCAGAATAAAAAATCATTATAGGTTTTCAATTTAGAAGAAATATATACTAATAATTATTATTTTGAATTGAACATGTGTCAAATGGTATTAGATGTAATTCCATATATGAACTATCAGTATAAAATATTCATGGAATTTACAAAAATATCTGCTCAAATATAGATATACTTATTTATAGAAAAAATAAGTATATATCTTTACAGAGTAAACAGTGGAAAGAATTATTACGATGCTTGATATAGAATTTCAATGGCGTAGCTTAGATTAGTGATCTTGTCTGATATAGTATCGGATGTTTTCGTTCTTTTGCTTCTTGAAATGAATATTTTATTACTAAAAATGACCTTAAATTTGAACTTTAACATATACAAAATTATTAACATTAAAATATGAATTATTTATAAAACAATTGAACTCAAATAAAAGAAATATTCTTACATATAAAAAGCTATTGTTTACAATCGTGGTCTTCTTCCATGTCAGTTACAATGGATAGAATATAATCGAGTGATATATTGTTAAGAATTCGAATACATCAAGCATACTCTTGTTAATTTTTTCTAATACTAACTTGTCAGAATATATTAGTTTTTCTAGAAATACTAGCAGACAATTGCTAAATATTGTAAGCTTATATGATTATATGTTAAATAGATTAATCAAGTTTCAATTGAGATTTTAATAAGTTAAGTGATTATCTTATCTTGATATATTCATACAATTTTCTATGAAGTTATTTAATGTGTACATTCTACATCAATCATATTTACATTTTTTTTATAAAAAATAAAAATATAACATGTTACAGTAAACATTCTTCTAGTTTTGGTTCTCTTTACGGATTATAAAATCAGTAGTCTTGATCAAAGAGATTATATATGTATGTAAATATATGCAGTAACACCATAACACGCATTGATGTTTTTAGTAATGTAAGAGAACTATTTTGGTTTGATTAATTAATGAAGTTCAACTAGATTAGAATTCGATAGGAGTTAGTGTATAAATCTGACGATATCTCAAAAGTAAACGGTATTGCTTTATATGTAAAGACATTTTTCTTACATTGAACATCTTATAATACACTGTAGATATTTTTGAGTTAAATGGTTTTATTAATATTTCTAGAAACGATCCCTGTGGAAAAGATTAGAATAATAATGTGAATGTTCCGGAAATAAGCAAGGAAAACTTTAAGGAATATATTTTGAGTTTTATAATTAAAGAACGAAAATAATCTTTAGTATTCTGCATATATGTATTAGAATAATAACCATTTATAAATAACGAATGATATTTCAAGATTACAATATTTAATAACAATCCTTAGAGAATTGAATATAGTTTTGGTTTTATTCAACATAACTAAAGCAATAAAAATCAATTGACAAGATTGCTTATCTTATTTTCTGTCATAATACATAAATCTACTTTTAAACATGTTAAATACTTTTCATATTTTTCTATAAGTTCAAAAATGAAAGTAGATGAATGAAAAAAACCCCATAGACTAATCTCTCGTTAATAAATAATTAAAGATAGATTTATGCACTTCATAACTTCTGAACATTGTTCTATTCTTTGATATATAATTGTAATGGAGACTGCTCAGACGTCATTGAGCAATAGATCGAATGACTTACGCATAAGATGAAAAACTATAGCTTGAAGAGTTTTTATCAGTGGTTTTGTAAATCTTATACATGGTATCAAATAAATTCTTTTCTTGATTAAGATGAATAAATAACTTTTGCTCATCTTTCGATCTTTCTCATTTGAAATTTTATAAAAAAAAAGGTGAGTTAGTAAAAGATAATATGATCAGAGATCTTTATCAATGTTGATTTAATTTTAGATTAATTATACGCAAATATATTAAATTTTATCTTTTTTAAAAGGCGAGTATAATTATAGTTATCACTATTTTTAAATTATTAATCAATATAATAACTGAAGACCTTTTCTTAAGTGTAGATCATTTTTATTCAATAGAAAGAACTTAGATATAATCTATGTTTCTGTATATGTGGTCTATGAACTAAACCACTAAAATATTTACTTTATATGTCAATAAATAACTGATAAAAAAAATGAGAATAAAATTCTATAACAACAGTTGGTAAAGTAACATTTGTTATTCTTATGATTTTTTTGTTAGCCTATTTACAGTATTTTAAGAACTTGCCATCTAAGCTATTAACAAAACTTATTATTATACATGTAACATCGTAATTAAAATCTTCTTGCGGTAAAAATCTAATAGTAAATTGATCGCCTGAAACTGTAGTACAACATACCTTTGTTGTTCTTTTCAACGTATATCCAGTATTTTGTTGTATTATTGTTAGAAGCAATATTTTAAGCTGTTTCTATATGTTATGAAATTAAATTAACCATTTTTATATTTAAGATATTTACAAGACCGCAAGGCTCTTATTAAACTAAAAGTTCATATTTTATGATACACAATAGTTTATGCAATATTATCCGAATGTAAAACTAACAGATTTTTTAATATTTTATAAGGAATTTTCTGTTAACAATAATATCAAATAACTAAAATGTGCTCTATATATTTTTGGTTTTTTACGATATAAAAAGATTTGTAAAATAAATCTGAAATCTATTTAATGATGATAGATATCTATCTAGTTCAAATTGTTTACAGTCTATGTATGATTTTTCAGGTGCAATGCTGCGGGGGTTTGTTTATATATCTAACAACGAAACAAAGTATATCATGCTTCAAATAAGAGTTCATTAACAATACCTTAAATAGTTTTAATATCTATTTATTTAAAGAAAAAGAAAATGTTACATTCATACATTATTAAATGCGTCAAACAGTAAATAAGATGTATATTTTTATATAATTATCTAGATCATTATGCGTTCTATAATATATCTAAATTTATCTCGAACATTTGTTCAAAAATTATCAACACATGGTCATATGCAAATTGAATAATTGATAAGTTGAGACTTGTTTTTTTTCTCTCTATAAGTAATTTTTGAAGTATATATTAAAAGATACAAGATTTGTTTTGAATTGTTCTAAAATAATGAATAAAAAATATTAAAAGGTGTTTAATTAATTCTTTATTTTTTATTATTATTATTTAAAAATCGATATTCTGTTAAAAATTCTTTATTAAATAAAATTTTTCAAATATTTTATTCGGCCAGCGACCTTTAAGCGAAGCGTTACATGTAATGATACAATCATGACTGTTCAAAAAACTTCAATTTTTTTTCCGAATCTTATCGATGACAATATCTCGTTAATTCAGAGATAGTACAAAGATTTTCACAACATGATTCAGTAATCACTCGTGGTGTTTTATTAGCTCGTGGAGATATTCGATGAATGAATGATCTTGGTGGTGTCATTGTTTGTCGTCCGATAAGTGTCATTGGTGTTGTTGTTTGATGTTGTTCAACAACTCGACAAACAACATTTAACATTAATAATAAATTTGGACCACATGCATGAAATACTCGTTCTAACAGACAATTTTCCACTCGATAAAGTTTTTTTCGAAGTTGAAGAACACTATTTTCAGTTAAATATTTACCATCATATTCAACAACACATTGATCATCACGTAAACGTTGTCGATAAGTAACACCGGCTGCTTTAATATGATAGATTTTTCCATCAACTATATTATGAAGATGACGCATTGCTTTTGCTTCATGACGTTGTTCAGCTTGTAAAATACTATCGATTAAAAAATTCTTGTTTTCATCGTAATTACTGGTATTATTATCATAATTGATACTATCATCTTCTATTGTTGGCATTGTTTGAATGGCAGCAACCAGTGCTACTAAGCATAAAAGAATATAACTGTTCATAATAATGCTTGGTTTATTAATGATTTTTAAATACTGTGAACTAGCACACTAAAAAAGTAAAAGTTTCTTCATATATTATCATCATTAAAAGAGAAACAGAGAGAGGGACAGAGAGAGAGAAAGAGAGAAAAATCTTACATATTGCTGCGTTGCCTGCGCTTTGTTAACACGACTTTAAAATTGGCCTGCAAGCGTACTTTCTTCTTTCTATTTTAATGTTAGAATTGATACAGGTATATATATATATATCGTTTAGTTTAGTTTCTCCAAAAAAAGGCGTACTAACAAAAAAAAATAGAAAGAAAAATAGAATTAGAGAAAAAATAAATAATAATCTATATTTTTAAAAAATCCTGGTGGTAACTCTTTGGTATACATGAAAGAAAAAAGAGAATCGAACAGTTTTTTTTCACCCAAGCTTGGAAATGTTATCTATGTTTATATGGCAAATGTCGATTTTAACTTCCGTGTACATATTCAGAAAGCAAATAGCTAAGTCATAGCAGTCCTCTTCAAATATCACGACTCTTCTTATTAAGTAACAGATGGATTAGTTATGTGTTAAATTATATTATTTAACAAGTCATTACCAAGTCTTCTTATGTTCTTCTTTAAGTACGCCCTTTAAAGAACATTATTTTGATAACATGAAATACCTATTGAAATTCATTTTTTAAATTATTGAATTAATTGTGAATACAAAAAGAAAAAGCAAATTTTAAACTTTCGTTTGTTTTATTTTCTAGTGTATTAATTTCATTTTTAACATATATTTATATATGAAGAAGAGAAACAACACGACAATAAGATTAAATGCAATGAATATATTTTGAGACATAATAGAGCACAAAAAACTAGAAATTTTGAAATATTTTAATTGGAAATGCTTCTATTTCTTTTTTTTTTTATTATGTGCTTTCACTATTTTGAAGGGCAATATTGAATTAATTCTGATACTGTACAAGCATTTTTACAACATAAACCAAAATATGATCGATCTAAAACATTAATGAGATCATCTTCTATTTGTCGTCGTTTTAAAACTTTTTTCTCATAATGTTGGTCAGCATATGAACAAACAAGATCACGCATTTGAATAAATAATTTTGAACCACATGAAGCAATATAGGCACGATTTAATCGACAATCTTCAACTTTAAACCATTTGTTTTTGATTTTAATTATTTCACCTTCAGTTAATGAGTTATATTTGTCACCTTGAGTTTTCAGCTCAACAGTACATTGACCTAAATATATACATATATATAATAAGATTCTATCAATAGATTATGTATTAAACTATAATTAGTTTCACTAAATTTCTACTACTCAAAAAAAAAGTATCTGTCATGCGAATTTATAAGTAATACGTTGAATGTCTATGATACATACCATTATTAGAAACATGTTGTTTATATGTGGTATCGACGCTTTTTAGTTTATATTGTTTTCCATCAATATACTTTTCATTAAATTTTGTATCAACTGAAGAACTGATAACTAATGAAAAACAATAAATTCCAAGAAGAAGAATAGCGAACATGTTGTTTGTCTTATTAAACGGGAAGAAATGAAGAGAAATAGAAATGAAAGATTAATATAGACAATCTTGTCGTCATAAAAAGAAAAAAAGAAAGAAATCTTTAGAAAAAAAAAGAAGAAGATTGCTTAGTAACATTTATATGACCAATGCTTTTTGAATGCTGAAGAATGACATGAGACAAAGAAAAACTCAATTATGTGTGATTATGTTAAGCATTAATAATGTCATTTATTCTTTATTTTCAATTTCTTTTTTACTTTTGACATTAATAAGGATTATTTCAATAGAATATAGATTTATTTAAAAAAAAAAAGAAAACGACTCGTTTACAAATAAGAAAATACAGTGATTCATATACAAATAACATTTGATTGTTAGAGAGTTTTTTTCCTATCCATTTTTATTTAATTTCTCTTCAAGACGATTAAAACGATCATCAATATGTTGTTGAAGTTCAAGAAATCGTTTGTCTACATATGTTTCTAATCGATGTTCTAATTCATTTAAATCTTGTTTTAGTCTATCGTTATTTTGACTTTGAGTACACTTGACTTCTTCATTCACAGATGACTTTATTTCGTTAAGTATTGATGTAAGAGGTGTAGGCGTTGTTTGTCTGAAACAAAACAAAGAAAAATATATTAATTCAATTGTATTTTGTTAATCTTGAAAATAATATTAAATCGGATCAAAACATTTCCTGAGTACTTCTTTTCTTATTATTTAATCAATAGAAAAACATGCATGCATTAATAATTAATAAAAATACAATTTCTTGATATGATCAAGTATTTCCTAAATTTTTAAAAGTTTTTTTTTAACCCTAGCGATAGATTATGTAAGTTAGTTCATAGACTTATTTATATGTTAGACTTAAATAGAGAAATTTGAGATTAAGAAAGCTAATTACCTTAACGCCATAGATATTAAAACCAAAGTTTTCTCAAGTAAAGAAGTCTTATTATACGCATATAGAAATAAGATATATCGATTTTCTTCTCAATAATAGACTCTGAGTAGAAACTTCTAATTATAGATTAATCTTCTATTTTGTATATCATATAAACTTATATCTTACTTTGGATTTGGCGCTGAACTCTTCATACCTATAGAAAATATATTTATAATTATCATAGCAAAAATAAGACTATTTTTACCACTCATTAATGAAACAAATTGACCTAAATTAAATTGTGGTGATGATGATGATGATGATGTTTCTTTTACACGCCGGTGGTCTTGTAAATGTTGAAGATCATTCATAAATTGACGAGCATTTGATGATAAATGTGTTTCATCAACCATTGAACGTACACGATTTAAATCAAATGGTAAATGCATCATTGGTGTTGATAATGTATTTGATTTATTTTTACTTAGATTAATTTGAATACAATAAACTATTAATTCTGTCGTATCAGCAAGTTTTAAACACTAATCAGCGTAAGAAAAGAATATATTTCATTAAATTGTAGTTTTCCGTAAATATTACTTTCAATGTTATTTCTTCATAGATTTCATTAAATTCGAAACTTGATTCATAAATAGGGTCATTTTCAAGTTCAGTTATACGTGAACCTTGACAACTACCAATATATTCACGATGATAAAACTAATAGAGAAAGAAAACAACAACAACTGAAATTTAAAGGAATTTTATTATCGATTACTTCAGTATGTTTAGCATTTGATAAAAATTGAATAGAAATAATATGATATTCATCTGGTTGAAGAACACTTAATATAATAACTGGATCTTCTCGTTTATCTGTATCATTTGATCGAAGTATAATATTTTTTACATTATCATTTGATGAAGCCGTTTTCCTACATATTATTTAAATAAATAATGTGATTTTCTTTCGTACAAATATCATTCTTATTAACTATATGATTTCATAAAAAAAGAAACAAAATTGTGTACATAAAATAAATTATTTATAAGATTTTGTAACTCATTAAAAAAATCATATTCTCGTCTATACTTGATAACTATTTAGTGTAACGACGACAGTTTAGTAGACACTGAACTTTCGCCATTGACAAAATTCTGAAGCTTCAGTACAACTAATATTGAATATATATTTAGTAAAATAATATAAAAACCAACCTAAGATTAATATCATTATCATCATTATTTTCTTCTTGGTTATCCATTGTTGCCGATTGATTATTTTCCTCAATATCAACATCACAAACAAGATCAAGTGATATTGAATTAATAGATGTCCAATTTGACCGAACTAAAACATATCCAGCCATCTAGAGAGTTTTTATAAAGACATATATTCATGGAATTTTTCGTTTTTTTTCCTATTTTTGTTCATTATTAAAAACAAGATAATTTATATGTTCTGATTTTTAGCTTTAATTGAATAGAAAATAAAAAAATAGACAATAACAAAATGTGCACAAATGAACGATAAGGAAAAAAAAGAGAGAGAGAAGAGAAAGATTTTTTGTAAAAAAAAAACAGAACAGTATTTATCTAATAGCCACACATACATGCAAAAAAAATGGTGAAAAAAGAAATGTTGATTATCTAATGATTTTTGAACTATATAGCACGTTTTATTTCTATTTTTGTGTTTTATTTTTTCCCGTCATATTGCTTAATAAAGAACAAATGATAAACAAACAAAGATTTGTCACTGTTTTCTTGAATCGTTGCTCGTTGTTGTTATTTTTTACACAGAAGAATAAATAAAGAGAAAACAACGAAAGGTTTTTTTTTTGTTTTTGATTTTTATTTATAAAATAAATATCAGGCATATATCTAAAGTGTGGCTGGTAAAAGTAGCATATCATGACTACATACATGTGCTATTGGATGCACTAATGAACTTTTAACAGGTGGAAAACGATCTTCAAGTGAATGTGTTTGATAATGTTGAACTAAAGTCTGTGCAAAAACAACAATACTAGATAAATTAATTTTCAATCAAATTTTTTCTTTTACTTGTAAACTGTCAAATAGAAGACTATCAACTAAATAATGTTTAGTTGATCCATCGACTTCTAGGGTATATATTCGAATATGATAAACTTCATTATTATGTCTAAATAAAGAATATTTTTATTTATTACTTCAAAGTTCTTTTAGTTTATTTTCTTATCAAGGTACCACTAGGTTCTTATTCAAAAATAAACTAAGGACATTTTTATTGGTTTTGATATAGAATGAAAATAGACTAATTGACTGTTCTATATTGCCGCAGATGTTCGTTTTTAATAAAAATTTTATTTTTAAACTTTATCCAGGTTGGTTGACTAGGTTAAGAACATCGTGCCATTCGAAATAAAAAAAAGCACTTTTAAAGTTCTATAGTAAAATGAAACAACACCTGGTTTTGTTCCATTCATTTCACCTTTATTCTCGTACTTTAGAAATTCTGATTGTAGAAATACTTACTTAATCGATATAGCATGTCCTTCATTTTTGCCTTGTTTTCGAACAAGAAATGTATTATTTGGAACAGTATCATTTCGTAATATATCTTCTGCTTGATGTCGACTAATATCTAAATACCTAAATATAAAAAAAACAAAAATAAATTTAATTTCTATTCCATTATAATTTAAATCATTATTATTAACATAAAAGCACTAATAATTAATAAAATAGATATGTATGTATATATATATATGTACATTCTCCCATTATTTATAGTTAGTAAGATGATTAAACATAAATTCATATTCACGCATCTATTTTACCAATCATAGATATGATTATTGGGTGATAATGGAACAAATTTCGATGATACAGATGGATTATCAAAAGAAGATGATAACTGTAACGTTCGATGTTTATTTAAAATATTTTCTGGTGTTGTTGGTGTTGAAATAGATTTTGAACGTTGAATAGGTACATTATTATTAGTACTGTTATTATTATTATTATTATTTATTGATGGAGGATTTGAATATGCATTTGTATTTGCTAAACGCATTGGAATAGGTGGACTATAGGCTTGTACAAGTGAACGAATAAAGGGAAAGTGATGAGCAAGTGTTGATGATATATTCGAACGCTGAAAAATGTGAAATTTTTAAAAATTAAATAATACCTACCAAGTTTCACAATCACATACCAATGATGAAGTGTCGGTCTTATAAAAAAAAATAAAAAAAATAAATATGAAATATTATTATATAAGAAAATTTATACAAGAGTTGTTGATGAACGTTGAATTGTTCTTTGTAGATCACCATCGATTGTACCAGCCAATGTTGCTGGAATAAGACCAATTTCGTTAGTTCGAAGATTTTTTACCTAAAAATAAGTTTGTTTATTATTGTTATTTAAAAATAAAAATTCAATTTTGTTTTTTACCTTCCATATATGTTCATCATCATCTTCGATTATTTCAAGTTCGTCACCTTCATTAACTTTAATATGTTTATCAGTAAATCGATTTATAGTTGATTTATTATTGCTATTATGTATTGAAGCATCATAATCATACAAAGCATAAACTTGACCTAAAATGAGATTTAAAATATGGAAAATTGAAAACTTTTTAAAATACATACTGTGATTATTAACAGTAGATGCATTACTAAATGCACGAGGCAATTCAATTGAACCACGATCAAAACTTCGAATACGTTCAAGTGATGCTACAAAATTAAAATTTGTTAAATATATTCACATATTAATACATTATCAATAGTAAACAGCGGAGTCGAAACATTCAACTTCAATTCTCAGTGAAAAAAATTTTCGTTACTCAATATATGATGATTAAAAATGTTCCTAAACGAGATAAAAATACCTGACTCTGTTCCGGAGGCAACTCCGATATCGATTCCGACTCCTACTCTGAAAGGTATTGTTTTTTCACGACTCCAATTTCAACTCCGACTCGGAAATATTTTGTTTCGCAATTCCGACTCCTACTTCGCGGAGTCGGATTTCGGAGCGACTCCGCAATTTACTAATGATCAAGACAGATAAAAATACGCGTATTGAAAATTATGATAAATACGAAAGCTTGCTCTAAAATAAATTAAATTTACATTTTTATGTCACTTGTAATTGATACTATACAGACAAATTAGAACGAAAAGCGTTACAAATTAAGCGTATTTTTATTATAATTGTTTTTCATGTATTTATATATAGTCTAATGTTAAAATGTAACGAAATGTAATTTTATTTTTGTTTTGAGATGACGAAAGACAAATTAATATTACATAAGATATAACTGTATAGAATTGAACTATCAAAATAGAGTTGCATAGATTGTAATCGAAAGTTTTGAGACTCATTGATTTTTATCGTAACATATTCAAAATTCTAATAGAAATGAATTTAATTCAGTAGAATCGATACATCTCAGATATATCCTTAATACTAAAAAATGCTCATAAAATTTAATTAAATTCATACCTCTGTGAAAACATGGTCCCATTTTTTTAATACATTCTCGATGAAGTCTTTTTCGACATTTTAAACATTCATAACCTTGATAAAATATTCCACTAAAAAATTTGAATTATTTATATTAACCAATAAAAATACAATTCGTTTATTTTTACCATAAATATTTATGACAAAAATCACAACGTGGATTTATTTCATCAAATGATTTCATTTGAAAAGAATGTCCATTTTCAGATAACTCAGGATTTGAACATCGATCACTATATAAAAAAAAAGAAAGTTTTCGTATTTATTTAATTTTTAAATAATCTTACATAGCATCTCGTAAATTCTTCAACCAAAATGAACGTTTTTCTTCAGTTTTAGCAACAAATTTATATTCATGTTTTAAATTATCACGTAAAATAAATGGAAACTGAAATAAATATTAATCATTAAACTTTCAAAAACAAAAAAAATAACTAACCTCGCGTTTTGCTGCTTTTAATTCTTCTATTTGACATCCTTGAATAAATAAAGCAGCACGAAATGTATATTTTTCTGATCCCTGGATAATAAAAAATAGATTGTTTGATATAAATAATAATTCTTCTTACTTTAACTTTGCATATTAAAAGAACTCGATCAAAAAGAAATACCGTTCTAAAAACAATTTAATTAAAATAAAAAAATAAGATCAAAACCTAAAAAAACCTTGTTCCATTTCGATGTCCATCTTCATAAACAGTAAATTGTTCATCAGCAATAAATCGACCATAACTACGTAAACATCTTTCTGATGGTAATTTAATATCACAAATTGTTTTCTCAATATTATTTATAACTTTTAAATTATCATGAGCACGTTTAGCTTCATTTATATATTGATTTACATCCTAAATCGAAAAAATAAAATCAAAACAAATTTTTATATTTCGATTTTTTTACAATCATTAAATGTTCAGCTTTTTCTAATAGTTGTCGTTTTGTGTCACCATTTGGATCTGATGATGGAACATTTTTTTTCATTGTCTATCAATAAGAAGAATTAGTATTATATTAAATATACTAAAAAACTTACATGTAATAATAATGAATATTTAACAATACGTTGAAATGGTAAAACAACTGTATCACGTAATTGAAATTTACCAAGTTCACCTGCTTTCTGTCGACATTGCTGAAATAAATAAAGATATATAATTGAATCAAGCAAGAACAAAAAGAAATTTACTTCAAGTTTTTGTGCAAAACTTCCATCTTGTTTTATTTTTCGATCAAGAAATTCTTGAGCATCAGGTAATTCCGAACAATATTTTGCATATATCAAAAATCGATCTTGCCATTTGGTAAATAAATCTACAATACGTGATGTACGACCTTTTTCATTACGGCCAGCTGAACGTAAATCTTCGTAAAATTCCGAATGTAATGCATGGATATCCTAATCATTAAAAAAGTCTCGTTTTACTATTGAAACAATCAATTAACTTACAGAAATATTTAAAAAAATTCTTTTTCTTTCTTCTTGTTTCAATTGTAATGGTTCAATAAAATGCTAAAACGAAAATTTCAATTAGAATTTTTATAAAAACTAAAATGTTTTTAAATTACTGCAACTATTTGATTTAATGAATCACGATAATTTAATTCTGTATCAAGTAATTCTTTTACACAATGATCACGTGGAAGGAATGCTTTGTGATTATCCTAGAATAATTCAAAGAAATAGTTTAGAAAATGAAATTTCAATTGATTTAAAAAACATAAAAGTGTGATTAATAGCAAAAAGCATTAAGCAGAGAAAGGAAAAAAATAGAAAACTAACAGATTTTTTTGGTTTTTCACATAATTGTTCATAAACATCATCGGCAATACTTATGCGTGATCCATATACACCTGAATCACCGTTTAATATTGAAAATGGAAGTGATGATGTTGATAAACGATGTTTTAATACTGGTGAAATAAAATCATTAGAATTATTATTATCTGTTATTGCTACTGCTGATGATAATGTTGATGCAGCATTAGCAGCAACAAGTGATGATGATGAAAGTGATTCAGTTAAATTTGTTGAACTTGTTGTTTTCATAAATGATGATTCTTGTTTTGTTGGTTGTGGTATATGTGTTGTATGAAATGAAGGAACATGATGGATACGTGCATAACGACATGAATGACATAAAGATGATTGACGTTGTAATTTAGTCGGTCTAATAAAGAAATAAGATAGGGTGCAGGAAGCAGCAAAAGCAAGATGTGAATACATTTAGCATATTAAGCATAAAAATATATATATATGTGCATGGACACTGAATGCAACAGAATAAAAGAATATTAGAAGACAAAAGCTTTGTTTTTTTTTCTAGACACCAACCCTTTTCTTCTCAATTAAACATCCATAAAGAGTAGTTTGTTCAGCTGGAGCAACGACTGTTTCAGGCGATGCATAATATAACAGTCCTCGAGAATTATCGTCATTATTCATCAGCATAGTACTGAGTAATGATAAGTAATATTTAAATAAATACAAATCATTGAAAAACTAAAAGATAATACTTACTCTTGTACTGGTATTGCTTCTTCAAGTGAGCGCATTATTGGTATTATTCCAATATTATCTTCTTTTTGTATATTAACATAATTCACTGGGCTATTAGTTGGGAATGGTGTCAGTTTCTTCTTTTTTGCTATATCTAATCGAGAGATTTTGGAAAGTGTTTCAACAATCTTAAAGAATAAAAACATAAATAAAAAATTTATATTCATAATTTTAGCAAATTTACTTTATCTAAATCATATTTATCAAATAACATATATGGATCAAATAAATCTCGATCACGAAAATTTAATTCACGTCTACATGTATCCAAAAATAGACGAATATTTTGTAAACATAGAAACTAAATTCATTGATAAGACTTATTTTCATATATGAAGAAAAAAAAAAAGATCATCTTTCATACTCGACTTTTCTGTGGTCGAAATGACACGTCTGTATATTTAATTATTCCTGGTACTAAATAATTGAGTACATTACATAAAACAATACCTAAAGAAAATCGTTATTTAAAAGAAAAAGAACTATTTTATTTATAATCATATACCATCTGATAGAATATCTGCTAAATCTTCAATTGTACTAGTTGGTGAATTTAAAATTCGATTAGCTTCCGGTGATAAAACATGGCATTGATTAAGCCATTGAAAACTTTGACGCCACATTGGTTGCAAACTTTTATTTGGATCGAATGGTGGTGGGAGTGGTGGTGGACTATGCATTTTTTTTGTTTATTGACCTTTGATTACGTACATCTCAGAAGAAAAAAAAACGAAAAACGTTAAGCAAACATTCTATCGCTTTTTTTATTATTCATTTGTTCATTTTTTTAACCAATCAGAAATTATCTTCAAACCTCTCGTTAATTAAAACGAAGAAAATAATTTTTTCTCTAAATAATAAAATATGATTAACATAATCAAACTATGTATTAAATATTTTAATCGAAAAAAAAATAATATATTTTGATAATAATTTGATTTGCTGATTTTTACCTCTATTTACTCGCTGTCGTTTCGCTCAAATTCATTCTTCTTTTCTTGTCCTACTTTTTTTTTCATCTTCACTAATACTTACCTTATATTGATAATAAAAACAATGCTTTTATCGTTATCATCATTATTGATAACATTTATTGTCTACCATTACTGCTGTGAAGATGAAAATTCTTTTCACAAATGTTCTTCTCGTGAAGAACAAGACATTAATTTTCTCAGCAGCAGGTAGTCAATAAATTTTATTATCATTTTCAAATTTCAATTTTCTAGAGAAGATCACAATAGTATAACATCATATTTACCTAAAAAAATGTCGTACGGTACATGGTTATCACCAATAAATTCATCATTAATTGTTGAAAGTACAAAAACATTATCAGAAATTCGAATTGATGAAAAAGGTAATGTTTATTGGATGGAACTTCGTCCATCGGAAAATGGTCGTTATACAATTTGTTCAAATAAACAACAAGATGATTTATTACCAAAAACATATAATGCTCGTACACGTGTTCATGAATATGGTGGTGGATCGTATATTGTTAAAGATAATGTACTGTATTTTTCTAATTTTGTTGATCAACAAATTTATCGAATAAATTTTCAAGAAAATGATTCACCAATACCGATAACAGAACAATCAGAAAATTCATCATTACGTTATGCTGATTTTACAATAGATTCATATCGAAAACAATTAATTTGTGTACATGAATATCATCAAGGTGAACATGATGTTCAAAATACAATTGTTAGTGTATCATTAAATGATTCATCATCATCATCAATGGTGACATTAGATTCTGGATATGATTTTTATTCATCACCAACAATAAGTCCAGATGGACGATATTTAGTATGGATTTCTTGGAATCATCCAAATATGCCATGGGATCAAACAGATTTATGGATTGGTGAACTTGATAATGAAGCAAATTCATCATTAATAAATAAGAAAAAATTATTTGCAAAAGAGAATGTATCAATTTTACAACCAAAATGGGCACCCAATGGAAAATTTCTTTATTTTATTCATGATCAAAATGGTTGGTGGAATCTTTATCGTACAACAAGTGATGGACAAACTATTGAACATATGCATGATGAACAAGCAGATTTTGGTGGGCCAGGATGGATGTTTGGTTATTCATATTATGATTTTGATTCAAATGGAAATATAATTATTGCATATTGGAAAGATGGAATAACTAAATTAGCTAAAATTGATGTTGAAACAAAAAAATTTACTTCATTAACAGCTACAGAAGAATATACGGATATTCGTTATGTACGTGTTCATAATCAAAATGTTTATTTTGTTGGATCATCAGCTATAAAACCAGGCGCTCTTATTGAATATAATATGGAAACAAATACAAAAAATATTTTATCTCGTTCAACAAATATAACAATTGATCCACGTTATTTATCCGTACCTGAAATGATAACATTTAAAACAGGTGATAATGATATTGCTTATGGAATTTATTATCCACCTAAAAATGATGATTATGAAATTTCATCAACAACAACTGAACTTCCACCATTACTTGTCCGTACTCATGGCGGCCCAACGTCAGCAACAACAAGTGCTTTTAATCTTCGTATACAATATTGGACATCACGTGGTTTTGCATTACTTGATGTTAATTATCGTGGTTCAACTGGTTATGGACGTAAATTTCGTGATAGTTTGAAAGATAATTGGGGTATATATGATGTACAAGATTGTATAGCTGGTGCTGAACATCTTGTTAAAGAAAATAAAGTTGATAAAAATCGTTTAACAATTGATGGTGGTTCAGCTGGTGGATATACAACATTATGTGCATTAACAATGTACAATTATTTTTCAGCTGGTGCATCACATTATGGTGTTAGTGATCTTGAATTATTAGCACGTGATACACATAAATTTGAAGCACGTTATTTAGATCGATTAATTGGTGAATATCCTGCAAAGAAAGATCTTTATGTTGAACGTTCACCAATGACACATGTTAAAAATTTATCCAAACCAATTATATTTTTTCAAGGTTCAGAAGATAAAGTCGTTTTACCAAGTCAAGCAGAAATTATGGTTAATGCATTACGTGAAAAACATTTACCGGTTGCATATGTTTTATTCGATGGTGAACAACATGGTTTTCGTAAAGCTGAAAATATACGTAGAAGTTTAGATGGACAATTTTATTTTTTTTCAAAAATATTTAATTTTCAAATGGCTGATGATGTTGAACCTATACCGATTGAAAATTTATCAAAGGATTAAAAATACATCCGTTCTTTTAATTTGATTTCTTTTTTAGATTATAACAAAAAAAAAAACATTTTGTTTTTCTTTTTTTGCTTTTTCCAAAAAATAAAGAAAAAAGAAAAGACATGTCGGGGTAAATAATATAAATTTAATTTGCAAGAAAAATATTTTGTTTTTTTCTTATTAATGAAGTGATTATGAAAATCAACGATCACCTCATCATTCTCGTTCACGTTCAAGAAGTCCAAATCGACTTTCACCATCACATAATAATCAACAATCATCATCACATAGAGATTATAATCGAAACTCATCGAGAAATATGAATGGTCATCGTTTTAATGATAGAAGAAATGATCGTTATCGATCAAATAATAATAATAATAATAATAATGGAAGTGGAAATGAACATTTCCATAATAGTGGTGGTGGAGGAGATCGACTTAGTCAAGCAGTTAATTTATATTCCGATCGTGAACTTGGTTTAAAATATCGGTATGAAACTTTTTATTTTGATTATATACTATTCATTTTAAATAATTAAGATGGGAAAAAACAGTTCATGTATCAAATATTCCATATGATATGAGATGGACAGCATTAAAAGATTTATTTCGTACTGAAGGTTTGTTTTTGAATATTTCAATGATAGATTTTCCTATTTATATATCATATTTTAGTTGGTGAAGTAATGTATACAGAAGTATTTGAACGAGATGGAAAATCACTTGGTTGTGGGTACGTTATTACAAAAAATATTCGATTTCAAAAACAAATTTGTTTAATTTAGATCTGTAGAATTTCGAACAATTGAAGAAGCAAAACGTGCTGTAGAAAAAATGCATCAATTTGAATATGGTGGTCGAAAATTAACAGTTAAATTGGTAAGACGATTAGATATAAAATAAAATATAATTAAAGAAAAGTTACTTTCATAATTTTCTTGTTATAGGATGAAGAAGGTTTTCGAACACGTCGAGCAAAATATCAATCACTTGAAGGACGTTTGTCTCAAAAGAGTAACATACTTCATCATCATAATAATCTATCAAATCAATATGGTAATACTAGTGGAAATACTAGTAATATGTCTCGTTCATCTCAAGTAGCAGGTAGAAAAAATAGACTTGATTTTTATTGAAAAAGACAACAGGAGATTTTGTTTTCTATAGGTCTTAATAGTATAGGTACATCACTTTCTGGTTATTCATCTAATGCTGGTGTACCATCATATGTCTTACAAAGATTAGGTATTGATGGACCTGTTACAAATAAAATTTTTGTTGCTAATGTAAGTTAATTTAAATTCCATATGTATTTTACAAATAAGAAAAAAATGTTGATTTTTAGTTGGATTTTAAATGTGATGAAAAAAAAGTTCGAGAAGTATTTTCCTTAGCTGGTCGTGTTCGTGATGTTACATTAAAACGAACAAAAGAAGGTCAAAGTCGTGGTATGGCTGTTGTAGAATATGAACATCCGTCTGAAGCTGTACAAGCTGTATCAATGTTTAATGAACAACAATTATATGATAGAATAATGGCTGTTAAAATTGATTTAAAAGATGAAGGAAAAGATGATGGAAGATCGTTAAAATTACCAAGTAAGAAACATTGATTTATTTTCATATTATTTAATAAAAAATTATTTTTAGGTGGTTTAAAATCTATTGGTGCTGGTTTAGGTATTGCTGGAAATCCATTACGAACAAATAGTAAGAAAAAAAAAGAAAAATATAATTATTCATGTTATATCCATATTTTCAGATGTTAATCAACTTGAACCAACATTACCACAAATAAATCCTAATCCAATACAAAATATTACACCAAATGTATCAGGTAAAAATTATTATTTTTTATTTTGTATTATTGAAATTTATTTATTTCTATTGAAGATTATATGAATCATAGTGATCTTACAGCTTTACATGCACTTTCACATTTATCACCAAGTGCAATTAGTGCATTAACACAATTAGCTGCAAGTGGTTTCTCAGGACTTAATTCACTTACTGGTGTGTTATGAAAGCTTTTTTTTCTTCTCTAAAAATTACTTTTAAGAAATGCAAAACTATTTAGGACTTCAATCCGCAAATTCAAATTTAAACTCATCATCATCATTAGGTATTGATCCATATTCAAATTCTAGTTAGTTATTTATTTAACACATACAATTAATATAAAGAATATGTATATATATGTATGTATATTTTTTCTTTTAAATTAGATTCACTTTATTCATCACTTGCTGGTGGATATTCAAATTATCAACAATCATCTGGTTTAACTGGTGGTTCACAATTATCATCACAATTATCAGGTAATGTCAATACAAAATATTTCTTTTATTTTTTGTGCAGTTGTTTGTTTTGAAATAATATACATAAATATCGATCTGAAATTCATATCTATACATATCCAGGCTCATTCTACAAAGATGACGATGCACGTTTGGGTCAAACAGCACCTGTCGGAGTATCAAACGTATCACAGGTTCGTACACAACCGACATCATCATTTGCAGGTGGTCGAGGTGTGTTGGGTACTGGTGTTGGTGGTGTCAGTGGACTTGGTTCATCGTTAGGAGCATATACATCATCGAATAATAGTACGCAACGTTCAGTTGGAGGCGTACTTGGTAGTGCTGGTGTTACAGGTCCGAATAACAATGTTTATGATCGTTCACGAGGACGATCACCATATCGTTGAAGTTGAAAGAAAAAAAGAACTTGACTCTTTTTTTTGTTGTAGTTGAATTGTATATGTTTAATTATTGATGAATATCTTCTGGATTGAGGTTGATTTTCGAAGATGAATGATGATCATGATTAACATGTTACGTATCATTGTATCTATATTTCTCTCTGTTTACTATTCTCTCATTTCATTTCTTTTGCCTTTTTACTCTTCACTTGCATCTTGTTTGTCTATCTTTCTTTCTCTTTCTCAAAAAAACATAAATTCATGTTCGTTATCGATGTCAATCAGATATAAAAGAAAAGCAACAATTATGAATATTTTGTTATTTTGATCAAAAATAATTTTCTTGTTGATATAATTGGATATGCTAGGATGAAATATTATGTTTAACAAGTATACACAAGATTCGATTCGATTTGCTTTAGAAAAATAAGATAATTGTCGTAAGTTGATTATTTATTTATTTATATATTGCTTGATTGTTGAAAGTTTATATATGAAGATTAAACTATATTTTAGAAAGTCAAAATTATTAAAACAAGAATTTTTGCTACAATTTTTTATTGGTAATAAGAGTATTTTGTATCTATTGAGTTTTGTGTCTATATTGATGTAGTTATTTCGGATATTTGTCATTTCTTTTTTTGAAAAAATTATTTGTTTATTCAATTCATCTCAACGGATTATAGATGGATATTGTTTTGGCTTTCGTATTGCAATTATTCTTTGATATAGAATAAATTTTCTTTTTTTTTGAAAATTATAAATTCATTTTTTTCTATTATTGATTTAGTTTGAAATAAAAAAATTGCTTCAATACATGAACTGATTAATTCAAGTAATAAAATTTGATAATATTTTTATTGATTTATATTTTTATTTTTAGTCAAAATATGAAGATTGAGAACAATTTATTTAATATCTGAATAATTCTTAACAATAAATATTTGTTGATGTTTTTCAAGAAAATCAATATCACGTTCAATATTAACTAATTCATTAGTTAAATATGTTTGTTTTATTATAGCTGATGCTGTTTCAAGACGTAATGGTAAACGTTGATATTCAGCAAATATATCTTCATAGCGATCTTTTAGATCTGAATTATATACAAATGGATAATTCGTTATTCACAAGAAAAACAATTTACTATTAATAAGACAAAGACGTTCTTCGGCTGGCATTAAAATCATGGAATTATCTTTAGAATTACACTCTGATATTTTATATGTTTGAAGATACGATGGAATTTGACCATAATTCTTAAAAGACATTCAGAGAGAGAAAAAGACAAATGTAAATAATGTAATTACTTTTTTATGAATAAAATCTTTTTGTAAACCACTACCATCAATGAGATATTTATTTCCTTTTCTATCTGAAACAATATAACGACGTGGGCATGTTGGTAAAGAATTTTTTATGTTATTTATGTTTTCTTCGATATAGTTTTTGGTTAGTTTATATTGATTTTTATTTTGTGGATTAAATTTTGGAATTGGTGGCATTTTATGTGAACGAATAAATGGAGTGACTTGTATAAAAAAAAGAAGTTAAGATATTTATGAAAGGAAAAATTACTTTCTGGTAATTCAAAATAATTTTGTCGCCGTCGAAGTGGATGACAAGGATCAGGTTTCGGTTCTATAGCTAGACCCATCGTACGATGTGAATGTTTATTTTTATTTAAATTATGCAATACATTTGAAGAAAAAATTGATCGATAATAATGTCTAAGAGAAATATTTTTTCTTTGTAAAGATAAAATAATTTCTACTTGGAATTAGTTGGTGGTATAGGTAATGATTTAGGTATTTGGTTAAGTAAATTATAAATTGTTTCACCATTACTATTATTCATTATCTAAAAAAAGTCAATCATTATATGATGGAACGTTTTTTATTTGCGTGAAAAATATCAAACTGTCCACAGTACGCGGGAAATATTTTATTAATGACAGATTTGAATATAGCGAAACCTCCATGAGAAAAAATATTCAGTCAATCTTTGAAGGTCAATTCGTCATAACAAGCTCTATCGTATAACGCTCCATATCATGCACTTGCTGAGTAATATAAAATCTCAATCGGCAGTGTTTCCATTAACGAATTTTTTCATAAAAAAGATAAAAATACTTTTTTGACTACTTTTTTGTTTAAAATTAAATAGGTATTTAATAATTTAAAGATAAAAAAGGATTCTTTTCTGACTACTTTTTGTTTAAAACTAAATCAATGTTTAATAATTTAAAGATAGAAAAGATTCTTTTTACTTTTTTATTTGGATTTAATTGTAATAAATTTTAGTATAAAAGGTACGTAGCTATCATTTGTTTATACTAATCTTACATTGCATACATTTAAAACTTCATTCAACGTGAAACCTCTTAGAAAGACTCATTGGTGTTCATCTTAGAGAGTTTTTGCTGATACTGTTAGCTATCTTTGCGATGTATTTGTGTCAAAAAGCTATTTATGATTTTTACTGATTGTATAAGTTTACTATATTATTATGTTGTCGAGCATTCCCTAGTATATAGGGTACTTGTTGATGATATGAAAATAAGAATTATCGACAAGTGATTTGCTTTATATGAATAGTTTAAGTTAAATACTTACGAAAATCTTCTGTAATAGCGATGATTAGCAATTTAAACCAATAAACACTTCATTCAATTTTAGCATGTCTGAATTACTTTAAGTGTTCTTGAAAAATATTATTCTCTATCATTCAGTATATTAATCATAGGAAGCACTTTTTTGACTGTTCTGTAGAATTTCGACAATCTTGTCAGTTAGATATTCATTGATTGATGAAAGGCTAATAAATCATCTTCTCTATTACAGATAGAATGTTGTTTTTTCTTTCGAAAGCATGAGACAAATATAGCTCTACATCTTCATTAATAGATTGTAGAATAACAATAGCGATATTTCTTAACAGGTCAAAGAATCATACACTTGCGTCATCTATCTTTTGGGAGGTTTCTATTTATTCGAGATGGATGAATGAATACCTAAAAATTACACATGAACATTATAATAAACAAAAAGAAGAATGCACTTAATTGTTTCATTGAGAAAAATCTATGAATCTTAGAATAAATATAGATTTATTTGTAGATATTTATAAATTAATTCTATCTCTAATGTAAATTTATTCAGTATTGTCAATGACATCAACAACAAACTCAGTCAAACAACGGAAATTAAGCGATTTACGTGTGGCTGATTTACAACGTGAATTACGTTCATTTAATATTACATTCGATAAAAAAGAACTTAAAGGATCACTTCTTGAAAAATTACGTCAAGTATGTTTTACTTTTTATGAAATATAAATCATGAAAATTTATTTTTAGGCATTATCTGATCGAAACCTTGATCCAGATAATTATATTTTTGATACTTCGACTGATCTTAAAACAATATCATCCGATGAAAATAATCAAGTAAATAAAGAATTTCTATCAAATTTCATTATTTCATTTCATTTCTTTTTTTATTTCAGAATCATGAAGAAAATGGTTCACATGATAAAAATATCTTAGAAACATCAACAATGGAGGTTTGTTTATTTAACATTATCATTACTGACAATTTCTGAGTATAATTTAAAAATCTTCCTTTCTAACATACGAGAATTTTATTTTTGACAGTTAGTCTAAAAAGTAGACGAGCGCTATTCGTATCAAAACTGGGTACATAATAGCTCAAATCTCTAAAAATTATTTTCGATTACTCTTGATAACTACTGTTACTTACTCATAGTTTTGTTTGAAATGTATTAGATTACTAAGACTTAGACAAACAAATATAAAATCATGATAGAAACAGTTTAGTTTTGCAAACTTTTTCATTGATAGATTATCATACAATGTCATCCTTGAACTAAATTTGAATCATATATAATATTAATAACGATGAGAAAAAAATTATTTTAAATATTTTTCTTTCTTTTTTTTAGATCGATTCCGAACATCAATTACATATTGATAATACAGGTGAGAATAGAAGAAAACAAAGATATTTTCTTTTAATAAAACAATCATACTAACATTCATAATTTTATATTCTCTAACTTCTATATTTTTCTCCATATTTCAATCTGAATTTTCTATATATATATACATACATCATATCCGCGTACAGTTCAATTATATATATATATACATATATATACAGATAAAAACTTACTTAAGAAATCTAAGAAACTAAAATACATAGATGATTAAAAACCAGTCTATGTTATTATCCACTGATTGATAATTATTAAAAAAAAACTAAATCCATATTGTTTCAAAGAGGAAGCAAATTCAACGACATCACCATCACCATCACCATTACCACTGCAAACTTCAACGATACATGATACAAATGATGATCAAATAAATCAAATGGATACAATAGATTTGAGACAAATGGTTGAAGATCGTGATAATAATAATATATTTTTAACAATTGATCAATCAACTACTAAACATGATGATGAATATAGTAATGATAATACTGATCATGGTCTTATACAAGTTTCTTGTTCATCATCAGATGAAGAATTAGATACAAAAAATCAAATTCAATCATCAACAAATAATAATAATAACAATAATAATCATAATAAAACTTCAATAACAACAACAACTAATGGAAAACAAATACCATCCGATCATAATCATGGTGAAGACGAACAACATACAACTTCATCACTACCACCACCACCATCATCATCATCAACAACAACGACGACAACAGATCTAACGACTGATAATGATAATAAATCGAAAAGGTAATCAATCAATTTCGTCTATATTCTAAATAAATTGATAAAGAAAAAGTAAAAAAAGATTCTATGTGAGTATACTTGTGTGTGTGTATATATTTTTCCTTTTTTTGTACAATAATCAACGACGACAAAATAGCAAAAGATATTGTGTTTATTTTGAAATCAACAACACCAACAACTACGAATCGATTAATTTTTCGTTTTATTTTTATTTATTTGTTATTATTTTCGTTGCGCGATTGACAATTTTTTTGTTTCGTTGAATAATTCTTTAACATAATTCTTAATTTTATTTTTCATTTATCAGTGAAATTAATCAACAAGGAACATCGGATGAACAACAAAAACAAAATAATATCAATAAAGGTATTTATTTAAAATAGAACAAAAAGAAAAAGTTCAATATTTTTTTTTATAAATTCAGATCAATGTCATCTTTGGGTATCAAATATTGCTAAAGAAACTCATGCATCTGATCTAAAGGCATTATTTTCCAAATATGCAAAAGTAAGAATTTGTGTTAAGTGGTCCTGACAACTATTTTCTTTCTTTCTCGTATAGGTTTTAACAACTAAAGTTATTGGATCAAGTTCATCGCAATGGTTTGGATATATTAATTTAACAATACCAGATGATGTTGAAAAATGTATTAAAGCATTACATCAAACAGAATTACATGGAAAGAAAATTCATGTAGATCGAGTAAGTGATAATAAACTATTTAGTACTCCTGTATCTCACGATAAGAAAAAGATTTACATAAGCCAGTAAATTATCATAATTTGTAATTATACTATATAAATCGTTATCGTATTGCTTCTGAACAATCGAAAGACTTTTACAACGACTTATTCATATAATATATCTTATAGAATCATTTTTATTAAAGAAAAGAGTAGTATCGGAATTCTATTCTTTTTATAAATATCGGTTAAGTCAATTGTCAGAATAACTTAAATCATATTGCTTAAGGTGAATATTTTTTATTGAGAAAGATTTGTTATCACGCAAGAGAGCACACATTAATCATTTTGTTTGACTTGCTTGCTTGCTAGCCTTTGTTCTTTCAACGTGACTCGTTTGTTCTATTTTGTATTACTGTTTTGTTTATTTATACATTAGATGTCCCTGAAAGGATAAAATAATATTTTTCTTAATTATATTATTCAGAGAATGGTACAAAACTTTGTACTGATGATGTATTCGCTATTTTAATTATATTTTCTATCGTTTGAATACGATATCATCTAAAATAATGAATAATTTAAATGAATATCAATGCGATGGGAATCGAAAAAATGTTGAATTTAAGTTGACTTTTCTCAAATGAGTAGAAAAATGTCGATGGTTTTAGTTCATAGAAGAAAAATACAAAGTATGATCATATATAGATTGTTATTTGGATCTATTAGAAGGTTTTACAATATATATTGGTTTCAGTTTTTCAATAAATCTAATGGCAGTCTTGAAGAATCAAATATTCTAACGGATTTTTTCAATATTTATTATTCAAATTTATAGGAAATGCATGATCAACCAGCACGTTCTTCATCATCAAATACGCATAAAAAACAATCAGATCATTCAAGTCATAAACCATCATCGTCATCATCATCAAATGATTCACATAAAAAACGTGATTCAAACAATGAAAATCGAGAGAAATCATCGTCTGCTGAGTCAAAAATATCGTCGAAAAAACGCCCAGCATCAACATCCAATGATAATAAAAAGAAATTATCAACACCGGACGTTAATAAATCAAATAATGATGAAAAAACAGTTCGATCACATGATATCGATGCATCGAATAAACGATCAATAGATTCAAATAATGATAAAAGAAGAACTTCATCAAGTAGTAGTAATAGTCAATCTTCAAGACATCATGTTTCACGTACAGATACTTCAAGAACAAATGAAAAATCAGGTACTATAATTAATTCACTGATGTGTATTTCACAGAGATGATAAATCACTAGTGTAGTCTCAAAGTTCAACTATAAATATCATTTTGCAATAATAAACTACTATCTTCAACGTGTAATTTTATTAATAATACGAAAGTCGTATCAGTTATATATAAATCAATAATTGTTATATCAATGTATTTGCATGCAAAGAATCACAATTGTTTGTGTATAAATCTTTGAATAATAGAGAATCACGATTAGTTCTGTTATTTTTATGAATGAGAAAGATATTGATTATCATTTATAAACTTATATATTTTCTTATTTAGAATCTTCTCATAAATCAACTAGTAATGATCGAAAAAATGATAAGCATTCAAATAGATCTGACCGATCATCAATACATTCTACAGATATATCCAAAACTAAAATAACATCGCCTATTTCGAATCGAAGTCATTCGAATGAAAAACGTTCGAATTCATCATCAATAAAATCCGATCATCATCGTTCATCATCTATTGAACAATCGAAACAACGTGCACCATCTCATATTACATCAAATAAATATGAAAAACCAAAAGAAACATTTGTATGTTATAAATTTAGAATTTATGAAAAAATAAAATATTATTTTGTTTTATTTCTAGTCAAAAGATACACATCGTTCAATACCATCAAATACATATGATAATGATCGTCGTTCAGTTTATCAAAATGAACAACGTCTACGACAGGAAAAAGAATTACTTGTACATAAACAATATGTTCAACAACAAGAAGAAGAAAAAATCAAAGAACAACAACGACGTTTAGCTGAAGAACGTGAACGAATGAGACGAGAATTTGAATGTAAAATTATTGATTTGGAAAGAAATTTTATTCAATATATTTTTGATTGGCTTTTTTTTTAGTTCTTGAACGTGAACGTATGGAAATTGAACGTTCAAGACTTGCCTTAGAAAAAGAAAAAGAAGATCAAGCACGTGAACTTGGAAAACAACAAAGACGTTTAGCTGATGAAGCTAAACATCGACAACAACAAGTTGAAGCAAAAATACGTGATGAAAAATTACATCGTTTAGCACATCATGATAATAAACGTCCACGTTCATCACAACATGATTCACAACGTTCACATTACTCAAGTACAAACAATGGTGGTGGCGGTGGTGGTAGTAATAATAATAATATTTCAAATAAAAGTTATGATCATCGATCATCAACAAATACAAATAGTGGACGTGGACGTGATCGATCAATTGGCGATACTAATCGGGATTACTACCCTGAACCAAAGCGACCATATACAAATAATACGAATAATCAACGTGAACCTATTTTGTATGTATAATAAATCAATTTAAAATTTATATTTTTATTTCGTATATTTAGTCGGGATCATGTTGTTTATCGTGAATCGGATCTTCCATCATCTACGTCTGGTCTTGGTATTAGTTCATCATCATCAATAAATTCAAATAATAATAATAATCAACAACAACGATATCTTCCTTCATCATCAAATCAACATCGAACACCAGATCCTTATAATATATTACCACAACGTGGACGAGATATGGCCTTACCACCAACTTCATCTGTTAGTACTGCCTATGAACGTACAGCTCGAAATACTAATACATCACCAACAAATAATCGTGCAATTCTTCGACGACCACATTCACGTGAACGATTTGATGATCGAGAATATATGCAACAAGCACAACGTCGTGATAGATCACCACCAGTGACTAATACGATGCGTCGCGACACACTAGAAACTGTACATTGGGAACGACCAAAACCACGTGATGCTGCACATTATGTAGATGGTAAATAATTATTGATTTAATATAGTTCTATAATGTTACAGTTTAAAAACAAAAAATGTTTTTATTTTTATCTTAGATACTCATAAGTATTTACCTAATCAATATCTTTCGGAATCACCACAAACAGCTCAACAACAGCAACAACAAGGTTTATGGTCGGCAGCGCCGCCATCAAGACAACAACAACAACAACAACAACAGCAACAGCAGCAGCAACAACAACATCACCACCATCATCCTGATTTACCAGTTAAAAGTCAGTTGATCTTTTTCTTCCATTTATTTTCTATTTAAATAATTTTGTTTTAATAATAGATTCTCATTCATCTGTAATCGATTCATATGGTTGGCAACATGTTTCTCAACAAGTACCATCATCTTCACATCATTCACAAGATTTAGCATCATCCCATGATCGATCTCGTACTAATGTGATCAATAATCAACGCATTCCCATTCTTCCATCAAATCAACCACCACCACCGCCTCCGCCGCCACCATCATCTCGCGGTGGTACAACTGGTCAAAATCATCTTTATAATCATCCTGGTGTACCTGTAAGTTCTCTTCCAACATCTCAACAACATACATCATTAGTACCGCCACCACCACCACCATCGCTTCATCATACAACTACTTATGTTACACAACAAGCTCCACCACCTGGACTTGTCCTTCATCCTACAGGCCAGACACGTGCCTATGAACAACATTATGTTGTTACACAACCTTTACCGCAACGACGTTATTAGATCATTATTTTTTCGCCTATTTGTTTATTATAGTAATAAACCCGTCGATGTTTTTTTCATGTATTTCTAATTTTTTTTTCGGATGTGTCTAACATAGGATATACATGATTTCATTTAATTTTCTTCTAGTTATGGATTATGTGAAATAGAACCATCATATTTGTGTTTTGTGTTTGTGTGTAACATTGTACATGTTCTATACTTCCTTATTTCATTTTTTTTGTTTCATTCTCTTCATTTTTTTTCTCTTTAATGGTATTCTATACTGAGCACTTCTTCTATACTTCTACTTTATAAACATATGTTCCAGCATTGATAAAAAGAAAAAAAAGATGTTACTTATTTTTGATGAATTCATCAAACATGAAGAAAAAAAATGATAAAAAGACTATCTACGTAAGTATAACAAAATACATAGGTTTCTGTTAATTCACTGATCAAATGTGCATTTGAAAGTATATTGACATCTACCTGGATCAATATGCGTAACCTACATGAAACTCATTCATCCGGACGATTTTCGATTGAAATAGGAAGAAGAGAGAGAGAGAAAGAGAAAGAGATTGAAAGGAAAAAAGAGAAGAAATATAAGCAAATATATATTTCGAAAAATAGTTTCTTGCGCTTTCGATACCGTTAAATATCGATAAATTCTTTGAGTTACTTTTATAATATTCATCATCATTCCGACATAATATTTTATACAACATTTTCGACCCTCAAGGAGTAGCATGCATATTCAGAAGAAAGAAAAAAATGAGAGAAGGAAAAGAAGGAGGACTAGCATTATATAAAATTCACTTGTGCACACATGAACTTAATCCATAGTCGTTGCCTGCTTCCTTTCTTCTACCTAGTCACATACATATATATACTCTTTTTGAATCGGTAGAGCATAAAACTCTCGCGTTTCTTCTCTTTCGATAGTAAGTAGTTTTTCTCCTCTTTCTCTAGGTATAGAAACATTGCAATAGGTGGAGCAAAATCTTAAGTAAATGATTATAATTCTTCTCAGTCAACCATCCATGCATCCACTTTTGCATTCGTACATTGCTTTTTTTCTCTCTCTCTCTGTGTCTTTCTCTCTCTTTTTTTCTTCATATGTGTATTTGTGTACGTATACGTAAACCATTGATGTTGATATTCATATTCTTTGGACGAGATAGAGTATATCAAATATACAGTAATACATCATAATGTGAAAAAGCAAAAAAATGAAAGAAGTCTTTGATCTAGATGATTTTATCAGAATCTATCTATTCTTTGAGATATTTTATATCTACATTTTTTTTTCTTATAACTAGTAGAATAGAGATGCTAAAATATTGTTTATAAAACAAACTATTCGTCTACTTGTTCGTGTTGATTTTTTTCGTTAGCATTTTTTAACAAATACAGACAGAACAAAGAGAAAGACACACATATGCAGACAACGTGAAAAAAAAGCAGAAATACTGCCATCAAGAATCTTTCTATTATCAAGAGTGAGTAAAACGTACGAATTCTTTCACTACCATCTGCAGCCATACACTCTTACTGAAATCAGTCTCGTATTTGTCTTATTCTTCTCACTTTCTTTCTTTTTTCCCTTCTTTTTCTTATTTCACATTTTCCATTCTCGAACCATCTGTGCTTCGATCCCCTCAGTTTGCTTTTCAAACATAGAAACACTAAATCTCCTCAGTATATATCTATATACTCTCTTTATAAATGAAGTACATCTGCGTATATTCTCGTCGTGTTAAAATCTTTTCTCCTTCTCTTCTTTCTTCTTGGTCTTTAGTGACTTACTATTATCGCTACCAATTTTATATTTGAATTTAAAGAGGTAAAAGGACTAAAAATCTAAACCCTTCTTTCTTTTTTGCTCTCGCTCTCTCTCTCTCCCTCTCTCTCGTTTTCATATATACTGAAATAGAAAGAACGAGAAACAAATATACGATTTTGTCGAATAGATGATAAATGAAATTGATGTGATATCTATTTCTCGTAAGTATTTTGCTTTTTATAAAAAAAAATTTTTTTTATTATTGCATTTTGAGTATAAAATATTAGTTCCACTCTCTAGTATTAAATTATAAAAAAAAGCATGTTTTTTTTTCTCTAAGTCATTACTTTGTCGAAAGTGTGAAAACTCTCATTATTTTTCTACAACTTAATATTCATTTTCATGGCCAATTTACTTTTTTCCACATATAAGAGAGAAATGGTAACGGCATGCGTACGAATATTTGTACATATATATATGTGTGTATGTATATTTATTTATATACAGGTAAAAGTCGAACCATTAGTATGTTAGTAAATGTATGTAAGTGCGAGAAATCGATTTCTTTTACTAATCATGTCGTCTTCGGTTGTTGTCCACGTAATAGATGATAAAAATGCTACTTTTTTATATCACACCTTTTTCTCTTGAAATTGCTTATATATGATGAGAAAAGAAGATGATGATTGGAAGATCACGATGAGAAGTGGGCGATGATGTACGTATGTACACACACGTCTTTGGCCTTCGTCTTTCGCCTTCGATGTGCTCTTCTCTCTCTCTCTCTCTCTGAGTATGTCTCTCTTCTTCGTTTTTTAAAAAACTTGCGTGTGCACAAGCGCATCATATGTGCTGTAGACGCGCGCATCCTCTTCCTTCTTCTTCTTCTATTCCTCTCTTCTCTACTCTCTCGACATGTCTATAATCACGCCAATACTAGCATGTAGATGTATGCACGTCGAAAGAAGACGAACACAGAGAACGAAAGACGTAAAGAGAAATTGAGTATTGAATGTATATAATGAAGAAGGAGAAAAGAATGTTGCGCCTTACGTCGTTTTTCTTTCGTTACAGGATACGAGAAAACGAAGATGTAAAAAAAGATGTTTTTTTCTTTTTTTTTTGCCTTATCTATACGTGCCCATCAACATCGAATACACATTCATATGTACATTTATCACAAATCTTATGAAGCTTTAGTTAATTCAAACATGACTATTGATATCCAATCATCCACTCATCTTGAGTCTTAACTATAATTACACACCCTCAATTTATATGATGAAAGTGACATATTTTCACTTTCATTACGTTTATTTACAGTTTTAGATACACTCGTGTTTTCAGTTTTTTCTTTATATCAAATTAATGTTTGTAATATTTCCACTATCACCATCCATCATTAATTAGGTAAGAAAAAGAAAATAAAGACAAATCGACTAAAAAATAAGTCACAAAAAAGTATTTCTTCGTTTATGAAAAACCTTGTTTCAGAGACGATAGGTCTAATCACAATCCATTATCAATTCATCGATCAATCAATATAGTACGATTGGACTTCAATGCATACGATTCATATTTCTTTCTCTATGATAAGCTTTTCAAGCTCTTACCTCTAAAATATACCTGTATGATATAAAAATGATGTTGTTGTTATTATTATTATTAAAGAATAGAAA